TCGAAATGCTTCAGCGAGTCAGGGTCCAAGCAGAAAGCTGCCAAAACGTAAATGTTTCGACTTTTGGTTTGTCTGATCCAGCAAAAACACGACTTCCTGTATTACTCCAGAAGTACCATAAGTAACGGTAAATAATCCACCATTTAAGGTTTTAAGATATGACATATTTTTCTTGGATATTTCATGTGAAAACTAATGGAAGGTGAGCAATTAGATGTCCTTTTTTGAGGCTTAAGCTGTTGTCAGATTGTTTCCTACCTTGCGATGTCAAAAATGCATCGCTTGTATTTTAAACGTATGAAAATAAATCCAGATTATACAAGAAGTAGGTCAGTGTTACTTCCAGTTTTACTTCTTGAGATGAGGAAATCTTTATCAGCGCACAGAGCACTTGTATAAAGTTATCTGAGATTAAAAGTGCTGTATGTAACTTTAGCAAAAATATGCTCTTTCTATAATTGTTAAACTGACACAGGTAATCTCTGAAAGGATCGAAGCTCCAGAAATTGAGAAAAAATTATCCTGCGAGTCCCTGGTGGTGTACTTTTGTCTGAAGCCCACCTGCACCCCAGAGCTAATTTCAAAATAAATTACAAATACACACTTTATTTTTTTGTAAACTTCTATTTTTTCTTCCACTTTCTCACTATTTGCTTCATGGCGTTGGTCATCTCGATGCTTGTAGCCATCACAAGAAGCACTTTGTTTAAATGCTTCATCACTTGCTAATTAGATTAGTGTAATTATAAAACATTTGTGCATGTGGAACAAAATCCAACGTGATATTACACAGCAGGCCGAAACAAACTGCAAAAGAAGTGTCAGTATAACGAAAATATTTAATTTAATTATGAACCTATCAGTCTATTCAGCTAATGTTTGAAGCTGAGTTATGATCCCTGATTCAGTTTGTGATTAAGCAATTCTTCCTCATAACTGAACTGAAATAAAAAGATGTTTTAAATATATTTTAAAAATTACACCAAGCCCCAGCATTAAATTTTCTCGTTCTTTAAGCGCAGGTATCTAAATCGTAAAAAGAAAACAACAAAAAAACAGGCACAGATTCTGCTTGGACCGTGATGAGTGCTAATGATTGAATGTCGGCATCTCTATTTATTAACGGGACACCTTACGACACGTAAAAAGAGCAGAAACACTGTCTGATTTTATTTTCTTGTTCTTTTCCAGTCCTCCTCTTCTGATGTCCGCAGAAAACTACACGCTTTTCATCAAAAACTCTGTAACTTTCCCTTTATTTGGCGTCACCAGGTGAAGGATGACACAAAATGAAAATAGGACAAAACTTACTCCTAACACAATAATAATCAACAGGCTTATGCACTGCTATTGAAAAATCCTAATTGCGTTCTGTTAAACGTGTGCATTGAATAGTTCACTGGTGGTTTAATCCTGTAAAATTACTGTAATTATCAAACATTTTCAGCTCATCAATGCATACGACCAAGCTGAAGCTTGAACTGTTCGCAGGAGTAACTTGGTGGAGGGAATTGATAGTGACTACATCAAAAAATGCCTTTTCGATCCCAAGGAAGACCCGCTCTGTCCAATATTCAAACTGGGAGACATAGTTAAACTGTCTGGCTTCAGCTTTGAAAAATTAGCCCAAGAGGTAAGTGTCCAGCAAAGCACCTCTGCTTTAACTGATAAAGACTCTGCAGTATTCAGTTGAGATGAAGCAGGTTTATGTTTTGTATGGTTACGGACGTTTACATGTTTTGTCTGCTTGACAGGGAGGGGCTATTGGCATCGTCGTCGACTGGACATGCAACTTCGACGTTGATGTAAAACACTGTAAGCCAGAGTACAACTTTCACGGCCTCTATGGAAATCCGAGTGAGACTGACAGCGCCAGCGCGTCGGTTGGGTATAACTTCAGGTGATAGAAGTTTTGTGGCTAATTTATGTCCGTTTTGGAGACTTCAGATGACAGTTATTTCATCGAGAGAATATGGAATTTTGATGTTTGAAAAAAAAAAAAATACGTCTGTATTTGCTGATGCATCACTTTTCACAGGTGGTCACAATTCTTAAACTTTTTTCACATTTTTGTGAAACCAGTTAGATTGATGTGGACGTTATAATTTTTAAGATGTATTTCCATAAAACTGCTTATGTTTACCAGTACAACAGTTGTATCAGCCTGTTGTTTGGTAGGTTCTAGGATTTATTTATTTTTTTCAACTATTCAATTAGATGAACCTTGTATTTCCATCACCAACTGCTCATTTTATTGACTGGACTAAAGTCATTGTTTGCTCCTTATGTTAACCTGCCTTAGATGTGTTTAGTTTGAACTTTATGATGTTTGCTTGTCTCAGGCAGTTTAACATGTTTTATATTCCTTATTCGTTTAGAATGCTTCAATTTGTTCTGCATCTTCTCTCGTGCTCCATTAAGGCGCTTATTGGTTACAAGGATACTATTTATGCGTCCTTATATTTTAATTTTTCAGTCGACGCCTGTGAGGTGAAGTAGAAGCAGTGAGGTTCTTATTCTGACTGTCCTTGTGATCGTTTACAGGTATGCAAAGCATTATATGGAGGATAAAATTCCCAAGAGAACCCTCTTTAAAGTTTTTGGCATCAGGTTTGATGTCATTGTGAAGTCACTGGTGAGTAAAATATCTATTTTCATTGGTATGAATTTAGCATTAATTAAAAAAAAAAAAAGTGAGCTTTGTGTGACTGGAGCCGTGTCCTTTAAAGGCAAGAAAATTTGACATAATCCCAACACTCACAGCAATAGGCTCAGGCGTGGGGATCTTTGGAGTGGTATGTTGTTGCTTGGATTATATTCCACATCAATAAAGTATCCATCAACAATGAGAATCACTCACAATCTGAAATTATTCATTTATTTTTCTCTTTCTCTGCAGGCAACTGTTGTTTGTGACTTGGTGCTGCTGTATTTGTTACCAAAAAGGGAGTTTTATAAGAACATGAAGTTCAAATATACAGACACACAAATACAGGTAAGTTCTGTTTCTTTACTGTAAACACAAGATGGCAGCAGAGAGACTGTCACTAACACCAGCCCAGTTCTAACAGCTAATTCTTTTCACTGTTGGAGACTATCCTTTCTTCAGCTAGGTTCGTAATGTTTGAGGTTCAAGAAGAGTCAGTGAGTTGAATTCATTTGTTAAGACTGAAATGCAGCTCTGGCCCATTGTCATGCTTTCCTTATGGGAGAACACAGCAAAACGGCACCTCACTACAGTTTCTAATTCCTTTTATAGGCCTCTATCTAAGTTAAGCTCTAACGAGGGTGGTCCCCAGTGTGTCATTTCCCTCGACTTCAGTTCTTTTTATGCGTGCGCATGCGTGTGTGTGTGTGCAAAAGCATGCAAACTCCATCTTCCTCCAAAAGAGATGGATGAAAACACAGAATTGTTCATTCCCAACATCACCTAACACCTTTCTTTCACCGTTTGAGTGTCACATACAGCGATCAAGCATAACATTATGACCACTGAGATTAACCCTGATGAGCTCTTTTTATGGCTCCTGTAAGTAGATGTAAGACCCTCCTCCTAACTGGTTGTTTTTGACTGGGAGTGGCGTATTTCTTCTTTGCTGCAAAGCAAAAATGGTTTGAGATGCTGACTTGGCCGAGTACTTAGTTCCACAAATGTCAAGCCAATCAACAGTACGTGAGATTGTTGATCGTTGAATCCACTGCTTGCAGCTGTATAGATATCATAGTGCACCTTCAGGAGTTTTGTGGAATCCATCTCAGGGATTGTTTTTTACCACTCTACTATGGTCATAATGTCATGTACCCATCCATCAGATTAAGGGCAATGTTCTTAACATTGGAGATCACTAGAGCTAGAGAGCCGCATGAGTTGCATAAAGCACAACCAGTTATCAGACATGGTACTTGGATGAAATCCTCCCCTAAACGCAAGTCTTCCCCCTCACAAGCGTCCATATTCCCTAACCTTGATTCCACCTGAAGAACTCTCCTCTCCCACCCATCCAAAAGCCTCACCAACAATATAAAAACTATCCTCCATCCTGAAGTCGCACCACTAAAACAGGAAGAACGTTTTGTATTTACAGCAGGACAGTGAGTCTATTGATTTAGACTCTAACGCCTATTACACCCTTGAAGCAAATTCAAGACAAGCCCAAGATGAAGACAAGCCCAATGTGAGTGCAAGGTGAAACCAGGACATCAGAGCAGATTCTGTTGGTTTCCAGACATATTCTATAAAGGTTGCAATGGCGGGGGCCTCACAATAGAGATCTAAATTGTTCTCTGGTATGGCTTTTATCCAGGAGGATCCTGATTCAGAGGCAGGATCCACAGAGACCGAGGTATCTGAAATGAGGATTATAATCTGTAGGAAAACATGAAGCTTCGTTGATCGCTGAGGTCTTTCCCCCTTCCATTCTTTTGCAGAAGTGATCTGGGAGCAAAGAAGGCAGTGCGCAAGCTGCTTCATAAAGTGAACTGCACAGAAACAACATTATGGGAAACGGAGAAAAACTCAAGCACACCAACTCTGGATGGACCCCAGAGAAAAGAAAAGACATCGTTTCTCTCTGATCCTCAGCAGCATCTTCATCCAGGGACCTCCTCCCACTCGAAAAGCCAACATGGCTGACTGTAATCATTACCATTTAAAGTCGAGCCATCTATTTCCAAGCTGTGTCTACTTTTTTTCCCCCCCTTTGGCTGTTTGTTGTTCCCAAGAAGGGTGTAACCTCCACAACTTGAACCATGTCTGCAAACAAACGGTTGAGAGAAGAAAACTGGTGCGGACAAATCATTCATCACCTCCGTCAGAGTCCCTGTCACTCCACATGAAAACCGACCAAACTTGTGTTTGCATTTGCCACCACAGCGATCCGTCCCATGTGTACACATGTGACGAAGAGTTGAACTGGTTATTGATTAAACACGTTCTTCAACCGTTGTGCTTTTTTTTTTTTTTTGCTTTACTCGTACAGCAACAGGCAAACATTCGGGTGTTTAGAGAATATTTTTAATGTTTTACTGTTGAGGAGTACAAAAAGCATGCAAAAAAAATAGCTTGTTTATATTGGTACATATTTACATTGTAATTGCATTCCACAGGGATGTGCCATGCTTTCATTTATTGGAGTACATTCAGATAAGAGTCCGGCATCAAACAGAGAGCAGGCACAGACGGCGGTCACAGCAGGACAGCAACAAAGATCTTAAAGGGACAGTTTTGATTTTCCTTACAGTTCTGTGATGTTTTAAGCGACAGTTCCCTTCCTGTGTCATATTGTAGTCAGTTTGTAGTAAGTGAGAAAGGAATGAGTACAATTCAGACTTGATGTCTCACATGCTGCGTTTCCATCAACTATTGCACAAACTGGAATTACAAAAATTTGTGTTTCGCAAAACTGGGATGGAAACGTTTTTCACATCACATAAGTTATGTGATCAATAACCAGATGTTGTCACTGGCAGAAAAGACAACAGGAAGTAGGAGGACGACAGCGCAGCATGTTTTTAAAGTTATCGGGTGAAGAAAGACATTTATATGTCATCTTAATTGTGTTTAATGAAAATGCAGCGAAATCATGTTATTTCAAGACGAGTGGACTATCGGCAAAGTTTTGTGCACATTTGTAGCTAAAATGCAGCTACATTTGATTCTTTATTCTTTTCTTCTTACTACAAGCCAGTGCATTATCGCCTCCTAAGAAGTTTTAGTTTAAACTGAAAAGTGGCTCATGTACAAATTACTTAAAACAAAGAGACACGTTTATTTAGCTAATTTAAGCAAACGAAAAAATTCTTACGGAAAGTGCTCACACCTGTGGGATACATTGCTATGCGAGCAAATATTAAAACTTATACACTTAAAACATGGTAATTAGCTTAGACAGAATATGGCTGCAATACATCTGCTTCCTGTGCTTTTCTGGTCAGTCAAAGATGATCAGAAAACGGCACTAAAACAGCCGCATCTTCAAAATGTAGATTTGAATATGATGCAACTCATGGATGTGAGTATTTTTAGTTTGAGTTGTTTTATGTAGCCAATTCCAGCTACAACTTTGGTGCCCATCTGACTCACCATGTTTCTATATAATGTCTCTCTATTATGGATAAGGGAACCCTCACTGTTAGCAGCTTTATATAACATAAAAAAAACAAATAAAGCTATTCCTTTAAGATAAACACTACAGTTTCCAAAACTCCCTAACTTGTATTGTTAGTGTATATATGCATTCTCATAATTCCAATGGGAATAGATTTTTGGAGTCGGTGCGCCACCAATGGTCTTCCTGTGTGAAACAATTCCTCAGAAGGAACCCCATAAAGCATCACTGTCAGAGTGACTGAAATGACGGTACATTTCTTGAAAAAGGTGAAGTTTTATTGTGCTTCCGATATAGATTTTATTGATCTTTACATCTTCCATTTTGAGTTTGTGTTTAATACAGAAAAATTATTGAGGCCGCACTGCTTTCCATCTCCGTTTCTTGTGTGAATACTCATCAGCTTCTGCGTATGTAAAAGGAATGATAGTTCTCATCGTTTTAAAATGGTGCTCTCTTGACACCTTTAATACTTAAGTTGTTTTTAGATGGTAAATTTGGCCCGACTCCTCTTGGATTAATCTGTAGCTTCAGACAAGATGGTGAACAAGGAAGAACCAATGCAGGAGGTGTAATAAACGAAGCGGTAAAAAAAAAAAAAATGCTGTATTTGGATTTGATCATAGAAGATTCTCAAACTATATGCTGCCCCCTCTGGTGACTCCTGTACTCTGCACCCTGCTCAATGTTTTAATTTACATAATTTCAGCAGGAAAGACAAAAAAAAAGAAATAAATAAAAGTTTGCCCTTGTTTTACAACATTCACATTTTTCCCCAATATGAACATACACATCAAAAACAGCAGTTAAAATGCAGTGTTTTTGCTATATGTTGTTTTTATACAAAGAAAAAGCAGTTTGCTAAATTTTCTCAAACAGTAGATGACACAATTGCAACATGCAGACTGACCGGAGGAAAAAAAAAGCACAGTAAATATGGTCTTTTACAGGTGAACCATCAGCTCAGAAACTGTACATTATGGCAACTGTATATAATGGCAGGCTGCAGACGAAGTTGTGTGTTTGAAAGTGCAATCGTTTCATTTCAATGTGAGCTGCGTTTCTGTTCTACTAAAACATAGATTCCAGAGAAAGCAACACGAGTGATCTCTTGCAGTGCAACGAGACAAAAACGCGTGGACAATTTCACAGCCGTCTGCACAGAAACACACCACTGCCAATTTAGAGAAATGTACAAAATGTGAAAGAATGATGTGAATCTCAAAAGCAAACAAATACATCACAGCTGGTCACACTTTTTTGGTTTCAAGAGCCCTTCTTTAGAGGACACCCTGCAAGCACAAACTCAAATTAAAGGTCAAAACTGCAAACGTATTATCCAGTCTCCATTACCTGCTTGGTGAGAAAATGGAGTGTCTTTAAAATCTGTGTCAACCCTTGAGCATAAAACTACAGGAATCACTTTCAGTGTGTTTTCTCTGGTTTCATTAATGCAGATTTCAGAGGTCAAGATGGAGGAACGTGACTGGCTGCACTGGATAATGGACAGAAGGTTCTGGTCTGGAAAGAGTTTTAATTTTACACTGAATTGCTTGAAATCTGTCCAGTGAAATGAAAGAAATACCCAAACAATGCAAGAGGGATGTGTCCATATGGATCTTTTGTCCCAGAAACTGATGAGTCATTTGAAAACTGACTGTGAATCGGTTTTAATTCACATCGACTGAAATGTTATCCCCAGTCTTCATATGCTACTCCGACGAGCTGCGCTTGGTTCCAAAAGGCTGCTAAACCCATCTGACGAAGAATCACCTAAGACGTGTAAATATTTATCATTTATTACTAAGAAACGTATCTGACTCAAATGCATTTAGATTCCACAATAGTCGCCTGTCTTGCCCCTGCTGACGGTGCTGCCCTGTGCAGCAATTAGCTCAAGAGCTAGGCTAACGCTAGCATGCTTGATATGATTCGTCTAGTAACATATTTCAACGCTTTTCTGGTGAAATATCTACAGCCAAAACTTTGGGAAACAGTTCTCCTGATTTATAAACCTTTTTTTTTTTTATGTCATAAAATTTAATAACTTGTGTTTCAGCTGCTTTTTTTGCTGCTCTCTCACGACTGAAACACAAAGGAAACCAACAAACATTACAGTCTCTCTTTCATGGCATAAGTCAAGATAGAGGGAAAATACTTAATTGTTACAGAATACCCTGATTTTTTTAGATGAACAAAATAATGTTTACAGTATAGAAAACAAGGGTTTTTTTCCTACAAGCCTTTTGCACTAAAATAAAACTTTAAAAACTGGGTTTGCAAATTGCAGCTGGTCGCCTCACTGGGCTGCAGCATGAGACTCCAACAGCTTTTGGGGGCTTATTTTAGTTTGGGACTGATGCAGGTGTTTTAAAAATTGATTGGGACTCAGAGCCGATCGAGGGATTGGATTAGGACATCCCTACTGAACAGCTGAGTCTGCGGAGACCAAGTAAACTACAACTGTCCTGAGTAACTGTGAACTTTACTTATGAAAAAATCTGTACCTTTCCTCCTCTGTCACGCTTCATGAGGCCGTAAAGCTCACTACCTTCACTCATCCCTCTCTGTTATGGTTTATGACACTTTTTTTTCTCAAAGGTCAGCCAAGCAGTTCAGTAAGGGAACAGTTTTTGAAAATGGCAAAGCAACATATTTTTCTCTATACCTCAGAATGATATGGTGATGCGTGTACAGATCATTTTTTGGTTTTTCTTTTATTCTTAGCAAATACAGGAAAGAATCCTAATGAACTGGCACACGTTTAACCGTTTGCATACACACTGTTGGGACCTGAAGGTGACCTGCTTCCCTTTTTTTTTAATTAACGTAAAAAAAATTAAAAATACCCCTCACTGAAATGTCTAGTGGGGAAAAAAAAAAAAAATCCTGAGCAAAAACACAAAAAACGTTCATATATGTATGCATCATATATTTACAGTTTTGATAACACTCCTGGAGTTCTCATCTCTGTTTCTATCCACCGTTCAGAATGCCGCATTTTAAAACGTCCTCCGTTATTTACATTAAAAGCAGAGATTGTGTTTGACAGCAGAAGTAGGCGCAGAAGCGTGAACTAACCTGCCATCACTGGAGTCACTTCATGTCAGACAGCAGGGGGCAGTGCCATTCAAAATGTGCGCATGCATAGCAAAGCCAGCGTCCTTCCTGCTCGACGTCTGTCGTAGAACTGGTCCATGAAGGCAGCACGGAGGCTTTCCACGCCGCCTTTCTTGTAAACGTTATCGACGGCACCGGTGTGAGAAACAAAGGGCTGCGACAGGAACAAGGAATCAGCCTCTAATATTAAAAAGACTGAACAGCAGCCAGAAGCCCTGTGGTTGACTGAAGAGACGATCCAGTGTGGTTAACATGCTGGAGTCAGAGAGAAACTGTTGACCAGATTATTATCAGATGATCTGATAATAAACATGCACAGAAATAAAGAGAGATTTCTTTTTTTTTCTTTTTAACTTTAGTGTGCAACCAAGTGGACCCAGTGAGAACAAAGCTGTTCTCACTGGGTCAGCGGTGTCACCTGGAAGCCGTTGAGCTCAGAAATCCAGAAGGAACAGAAAAAAAGGAAGAATTTTCTAAAATCAAGCCGTGTTGGCGTTAGCGTCTGAGAGCGATATTTCACATTTATAGATCCCTTTATGTACACGGTTTATACTGTGGCACTGACTGGAGCTGGGTGAAGGCGTGAACGCACAGTGGTCAAAGCAGAAAGCTCGGCTTCCCGCCGCGCCTCAGGAGAAAGGCTCATCTTCATGGAGGTCCTCCAGCTCTCCTTCTCTGGGCCCGTCCCCCGCGCTGCTCTTTCTAAACAAAGAGACGGAGAGGAGAGAGATCAGCAGGAGATGCTGTGTCTCCGATGTGGAGCTCCCCACACCCACAAAGCTTATGATTCCAGCCTCTGCAGACACACAGAGAGAGAGAGGGGGACAGAGAAGCAGCTGCTGCAGAATGATGGAGGTGGTCTGCAGGAACATGACAGAAGCATCTCTGAAATGACGGCTGGAGAGAAGCGACTGCAAAACCATTCAAATCCCATGTCATCGTTTTCCACCTTGTGTCACATTGCAACCAAAGATGTCAGTTTTGTGACGCGATGGACCAAATAAAATAGTGGACAAAAATCACGGAGCTGGAATATTACTCTTTTTTTTTATTAGTTTCTATTTAAAAATCTGAAGAGTGTGGCTTAATTTTTTTGTTCACTCTGATCACTTGATATAAAACCCAGCGCGACACTGTGCCTAAACACAAACTCTTACAAAACCAGACTGAAAGCAGATTTCTAGAAACACATGAGATTAAGTCTATAATTCTATTAATATTGATGAAAAAGTGCAAGTTAACCTGGTTGATTATATCTTATACCGCGCTGAAAAGCTCCTTTTGAGTTTGTTTCGTCTCAGATATTTGCACTAAAAACGAGACCAAAACTGCTTGGTGAGATTTTGTGTTTTTGAAGTGAACAGATTAGCTTCAGACAAACATCTATCATTTCTTTATGTATCTATATTTATATTTATTAGTGATTGGGTTTTACATTTATGTCTTGAGTGAAGACAATTGCTCTGTAGTATTGCTGTATCAATCGGGTGGCCAGACCAGCCATTTTTCTGTCACCCAAAATCCCCAAAAAAGTAAGTTTGTTGCTGCAATGTGACAAAATGTGCAAAGATTCCTGAGACAGAAAGAGTTCTGCAGGCTCTGTAAGTGAGCGCCGAGCAATCTAAGGCGAGGATGATGATGCGCGGGCACAAAGGGGTTACCTGCGTGAAGGGTGCAGTTTTAAAGAGGGCCTCAAAGGCCACGAGTCCCTGCAGTAGAGTGGGAGAAAAGACGGAGAGGTCACCGATGAGTGGGCGGAGTCATGCCAACGTGTTGGGAGTCATCAACCAACAAAACATTTCAAACGCTTCAAGCTTGATACCACTCGTAGAGACCAGTTTGAAGCTTCGCATGGTTGAAAAGGTTTTAAATGCAGACGGACAAATGAGGTAAAAATAAGATCAAACGCTTGATGCTGGAGGAGGAAAAATAAATAAGCAAACAGCCCATCTGCTGAGCTGATTGCATTATTTTACATATTGTTTTATGTGTTTTCCAGTTACCTTCAGTTCTTACAAAAATGCTGCACATATCAAATATGAGTGAAAACAAGTTTTACTTTGTATTCTAAATGCCTTTCAAATGGATCTCTGTCTCTTTATTTGACAACATTTTTACCAGCATTACACTGAGAAGTAGCAGGAATAATGAACTCAGCTGATGCAAAGTTCCACCTGGTGTTTGCAAATTGCTGCTGGCTAGTCTGAAGGAGCTGAGTGTGGGAGTAATTGATTTGTGAGGCAGAAGCTTGAAAACAGCAGCTGAATTGTTGCCAAGGAAGATTACAGGATTTCTCAAATATTCATGAAAGAATCAAAACAACTCTACAGGATGAGGAAATGACTTTATAACATCACGGGAAGCATAAAAATAAAATAAATACATTTTAAATAACACTGTCCCTTTAAATGAAATGCCTTGCAATTTGCTGTAAATGTGTCATTTGTTTTTTAGTTGGCGCTTAACTATCGTAAAGCAGAACCACAGAGAGCATTTTAACGCCCTTGTTTTTTTTCCTGTCTGCCAGCAGGGGGCAGATTTTTCTCACTTTTTCCCACTTGTTCTTTGAAAATAACCTTCGCCTCTATAAGTAGCAGCTCTCAGCAGCCCAGATAGATAAGACAACATCTCACATAACCACCACAGTTAGAGATTACAGAGCTGCTGAGCCTCATCTCCCTGGTAAATAAACCAGACGCCCTCACACAGACCGCTGTCCCAGGGGCACCAGTAGGCCAGCGGAGGGCAGCTCTGGATGCTCTGTGTGTGTTGAAGCTGCGTGGTAGGATGAGGGGATCATCCCTCTGCTGATGCTTTCAACTCCCAGCTCAGGAAACCCAAGATCAGCGCCACACCCTCGTTTTATTTTTGATTCTTTTAAACATTTTTATTCTGAACCCTCTCGTGTCACTTTGAATCCAGGCGACAACTCTTCAAAAAACACATGCTCACAAGAGCGGTAAGCTCTACTGCACAGAGCGAAAGACTGAATTATGGTGCTATGGCAACACAAAGCAGCAGGTGCTGCAGAGAAGACTGAGAGCAAGTTAACCTGATAGAGCAGAAAGAAAAGAAAAGGAAAAAAAAGGGACTCGGGTGAATGTCAGAATTTCAGACTACGGCGGAAATGGGAGCGGCTCCTTGTGTTGGTTCATCCTCGAGGAGGGGATATGGAGATATGAAATATGTAGGAGCTCTGGTGATATTTGCAGGCTGGACTGTGTGTTCTCACATGAGCAGGCTGCCAGGTGCAGACATGGATCTCTCCTCTCGCCTGCTCGGGCACTCAAAGGGGTTGCTGAACGAGCGCTTCCTCAACATCGCTTTCACCAAGATCTGAGGCACACACAGGGCGAAAACCGTCATGAGCCAAGGCTCCACTTTGATTTGAAGCTGACAGAAGTAAACAATATGAATTATTTAGTTTTTGTCAGCTTGGCGAGGGGGGAGACATGAAATTAGAGTTACATTATGAAAAATGTTCAACATCTTGGGAGCAAATTACAACTGTGTAGGCTGGGTATTGTGGATTTAAAAAAATATGTCAGAGTTTCACACATAAAAAGCTGTTGAGGGGGAGCATTGGATGTTGTCTGAGCTCATAGTAACGTTTTATAGTGCAATAAAGTAACCATTTTAAAAATGATAGATAAATCAAATATGACTAATCCGACGTTGCAACTTAATGTGTAGAAATTACACTTCTGTCTCTTTTGCTGCAACGTGAAACTCAGAGAATTCATATGCATTTGGGTTTGTTTATACACCAGGAGAGTGATTCCATATTCTGGCTTATAAAAACACTCTGTACTTCTTCGCAAACTTAATAACTTTCTGTACTCTTCTGTAATTCTACTGCTCTGTTTAGCCTTGCTCGGATTAGGAAAGGCCAAGGCGAAGCTGATCTTAGTCACATTTCTGCTGAAGACCCGCGGCGTTTCTTACCACAGCGGAGAGGCTGGGGACGAACTTCACAGAGTTCTGGATGTCCTCCTCCGTCACCTCCACCATGGAGCAGTGCTCCTCCTCCAAAGGCAGAGGGTCAGTGCCTCCTTGGGTCACCCACTGGTCCATCTACACACACACACACACACACACACACACACCACACACACACACACACACACACACACACACACACACACACACACACACACACACACACACACACACACACACACACACACACACACACACCCCGACATCCCCAATAAACACTACGTATCTCACTTGTCGTTACACTTTCGTTCTCAACGGGAGCTTTTACTCCAAGTGTTATGTGACGTGTTTGTTTCATGAAGCAAAGATCTAAACTGATTTTGATCTGATTTCAACCCTAAACATCTCATGTAAAGAAACTACATCTTTACATTTTCACAAGTCTATGGATGTGCAAAGCTTGTAGAAACATTCCCCAACACACTCACTGCTGTTATGTGCAGTTAGTCCGACAAAGTACTGAGTCTGGAGGAGTTAAATATAAAAACATTAGAATCATTCATCGTATTTCCAACACACAGCTTCAGTTATTACAGTTGGAAACCAGAGATCAGTCCCAAAATCTGGAGTGGTGAACTCAGACCTAATCTTTCTGAGACACATAAAGACAGTTAAAAAGTCAGTCTTCTATCACCTGAAGAACATTTCCAGGATTAAAGAGCTAATATCCTAGCTAGAAGTAGCATTTGGTTGCATTGATTAACACTTTACACTGTCTTCACAAGTCTGAAGACAGATTACACCTTCTGAGAGACACGGTTTGAGGTCATCTCAGGTAAGAACCAAGAACAAGCTGCCTGTCCTTTAGCTCGTCTGTGGAGCATTCGGTTCCGACTGGTCATCTGCGATGAAAACACGGAAAATGTCAAGGGAAAGTGTCGAGCCTCTCTGTGCTGCGCCGCCCTTCGTCCTATGTTTCTCTGACCTGTGTGTAAGAGAGTGTGTGGATGTCTCTGCACAAGGACACACATGATGCCTAACAGGCTCATTATCTCCTTTTCCATAAACACAAACAGCGTCTCTGGTGAGAAAATGACTCGGCATCGGATTGTGTCATGGAAACATGTTGGGGGGAGGGGGGGGCGAGGTATCTGCTATCTGCTCCGTCCTTGACCGGCCCCTGGACTCAGACTGACTCAGTTTCTAGCCCACAGGGACACACGGCTCCCGTCTCGCCAAGCTTAACGAGCCCCACTGGTCACGTGACAGGAAGTTGGTGGAATCGAAAGCCAACGCGCGAAGGTAAACAACGCCACGCCGAACATCGACTACCGCTCCGCGTGCCGCAGTACCTTGATCTCAGGAATGGTGATCCTGGTGTCCGGGTTCTTGTCCAACATCCGCAGGATCAACGTCCGCAGCTCTTCGCAGATGTTTGGTCTGCCATGAGGAACGAGACTCGGTCAGGTTTTTGGACACTGCTTCATGCCAAGGTAACAGACACTGAAATCACCCGGCATCGTTTTATGGGTTCAGGATTTTATGATTCAATTATCAACAGTGCATTAAGTATGTATAATGAAAGCCCATAATTAAAACACACTTTATTAACCAGCACTTAAAGATAAACACTCTCCTAAATGTTATTTAAGCTGCAGAAATCAAATATAACATTCTACATAAATTCAGCTGGAATAAGAGTATCAAGTATTTGCATTAATAATTAAGATAATTACACATTAGATTAAACAAAATTGAAATCATCATTTGAAAGTGGAAGAAATAATCATGGCTACTCTGAAATACTGACTTGGTAAACTAATTAGAACAAATAATAAAGGCATAGCTAAATTAATTTATAGAAAAGGGCTCATCAATTAATTTGTTGCAATTTTAATTCTAAATTCAGTTTATCCAAACAGAAATGACTAAAATTAAAACACTAAAATTCCTAACGGTTTCAACCCCGTGTTCCCCAACGTGCGTGACACTGAAAGAGGAGAATGTGATAAAAACGATGCCCACCGGGAAACCCAGTCTCCATCATTGCGACAGTGGCATGACATTACTTGTACGAACGGCGCCATCGCCGCTCAGAACAAGGCACCATTAATTGTCACAGATTTTTACAGCATACAAATGATGCGATTACAGTCCGTGTGGGAGGACAGGCGCAACCTAATGCGAGAGCTTCGCTGCTCAACCATGACTCCAGTAAACACGACGTTTCCTTATTGACAAAATAACACTTTATTCTAACACAGCCTGCCACGTTCATATTTCATCAGCATGTTCGCTCGGCGGACGCTCAATACGTGGCGTCACGTGTTCTCTGACCTCTGTGCTTCACTTCACCTTTTACTTGAAAGAAAAATCAGCTTGAACGTTGCAGTCTATATGCTTGTTTTGATGCCAAACCAGTGACTCCATTTCATATTCCAGTTGTTTTGGTTTGTTTGTATGTGTGTGGGGGTGATTTTTATTGATAAAAATCCACGATAAGAGGTAAAATACGAGCACAAAGTGGACAGAAAAGGTGTAATCAATTTTGCTATTTTCTCTAAAAAGATATGAAAAACGGCTGGAACAATAATACAAAAAAACCAACAACTCACGTTTCAGAAAAATCCACAGGCTTGGTCTTTATCTTATTGTGCAAAGCCAATATGTACTCGTCAATAAATGGGCACTGCAGGTGGAGGAGAACAAAAACAACAACAATAAAAAAAATAAAACCAAACAGGAGTGAAATCCACAATGCAGGTTGCCTGAGTCACAGCTCTGGCAGATTCAATCTGCTTCTCCGACGACGGATCAGACAAATTACAGCTGCAGCAATCAGCCTGTGGCGTTCATTTAAACGCACAAGCGCCGCATCAGACGCAGAGAAGGCGGCACGCTTTGTTCCCACGGAGGTGCTGCCACAGAGGGAGACGGCGTTCGCTGTTAAATAAGCGAGAGACGGAGAGTGTGCACACTTGCCTTCCCAAACACGAAGCAGTACAGGGTGATTCCCATGGCCCACACGTCCAGCGCCTTTAAAACAGACAAAGCAAAACAGGAGGTCAATGCAAATGTGAGCCACACCGACTGGAAATCACTCAGCACTCAAACCTAATGGGAGATTTACGGAACGTGGGGTCGTTTTATTTTAGGGCGTCTTTTTCAGAAGCCATGAAGATGGATTTGTGCTATAATGTAGCAGAGGGACTCGGCGAGCCACCGCACTCTTGGTTTTTCTCTACAGATAATCCTTACCGGGAAAAGCGGTCACCTTCTTCAAGTCCCTCCATTTGATTTAGATACAGATTCTGACCAGAGTTTAAATTTACGGCCCGAGCCCAAGCAGAGATTTGGGCCGGGTTCGGACAGAATTATTCGTGCAGCATTTAGCGGCAAATGAGAATGAATGCCATAAAGTTGCGTTGATCTGCTTATTATAGCGTAGCTGGAGGAGCAGGTTGTTCGCTCTGCGGAGGAAATAAAGAGAGGAAATAGGGAGGAAAAGTTAATCAGACTGAACAGAGCAGCGCCACCCTGCTCCGCTCCCATCAATCACACGTCCCAGAACATTTGCATCCGACTTCACCCGGCGATAAAACAAGCAACGAGACGCAGCTGGAAGATGCTAAACAAAAGCTAAAAGTGGGAGACGTTTTCAGTAACCTGCCGGAGTCGGAGTGGATGTTTTAGATGTGATCGGACCTCCAGCACTCCGAGTGCGCTTTTGGTTTTAGGTCAGAAACTGATGTTCTGTTTTAGCATTCCTTATCCCATCAATTACAAGCAAGTCACCAGTTTCATTTTGCTCCTTTTCTGAAATAATAACATTTAGTTTTACTTTAAATGCAAAAGGAAGCATTTCCTGTCAGTCTACCAAAATATTTTCACAGAAGGGAGGGAAATGAAGCAAAATGGGTGAATTATGTTCCTGGCCTTGAAACGTGTTCAATAAATAAATAAATAAAAGACATTTCTGATTGTTGAATCATTCTGAAAAGGCTTCAGGACGCTAAAACATGGCTGATACTTTGTTTCTCGTGTCTTTAACTACGTCAGACTGAGCCATGATGTGTTGCTTGTTGAGGCTTTCATGACTGTTTCATGTTTTCACAGGATCCGTTTCAGCGTTTTGTTGATTCTGCAGCTTCGGTCGAATAAAACCAAAATAAAAATGTGGTGAACAGTTGCTTCATGGCGTTGCTGGGCTTTCATTTTCGCATAGATTCAGGTTAATTTTGTTGAAATAGAATTTTAAAGTAGCACAATAGTACATAAGTTAACTTTTAGGTTAAGATAAACTTAGATACAAATCCAAACTAAGACAACTGGTGACTCTCTGAACTTACATAAATTTCTAATCAGAAAGCAGTCTTATACTCCCTAAGGAACATTTCAGACAGGGAGTCTGTCTGCCAGGCAATTAACAAATTCCTTAGCATGGTTCAAAAGTTCACTAGGATCTTAAAACTTTTTATAAATAATTTTATCTATATTAGAATTAACTATATTTCTTTAAGCATATTTTGAATTAGTTACTTCTTAGATCCAAACTTATAGTCATTATTTAGCATTACATTTTGTGCAAGCTTGGTTAAAAAAACACCAACTAGTTTCTTGTTGAAGCATCTTGAGGCAGAGATAACGTTCCAGTTCCACGCCATAAATCAGGTCGGAGCCTGGTACGAGAAGAGCTGGGTGTTTGGGTCTCAGAGGTAATAAAATTAACATTAAGACAGCCCACACAAAGGAAAAGAACACACCTCCTAATGCATATATTCAAATGAGGAGAATACACATTTTATAAAATGATTTGTTTTACATCAGAAGTTGGAATCTCTTTGTGCTGAGTGAGAGTTTCCCGGAGGATGCATCTTCTGTTAATCTTTTGTCTTTTTACTCAGTTCTTTGTTTCTGTTTTGTCATGTCTTGGACTTTTGATAATCTAGGTGAGATGCTTATTGTAACATTCTTCTTGCATTGAATTTCTCTGGATAAAACTCTGGATATCTGAAGTCTGACGTCGTATGATTGCTCTTTTCTCTCTGCACACTTACACAGACACAAGAATTCGGGACAAAGAATTAATTAACGAGCTAAATCAAGTTATTCCTCTTTTTAATTCTTAACAATTTGAATGAAGTTTTTTTTTAATTTAATAAATAAAATCAGTATTTGAAAACTGATTTTTGCATTTATTCCGGTTATCATTGCCTTGATATTAAAATCTGTTGATGATTTGAATCATGAAAGTTTGGCAAAAAAGCAAAGGGGGTGACAGGGAAAATAGTTTTTTGTTTTTTTACGCAAGACGTGATAAAAGCGCCCTCTCATTATCTACTGCAATTTATCATAATGTTAGATTCATCATGTACTTTGGGGAGTGAAGAATAAAGGACTTTAGTGACATACAAGTGTTGGATATTATAAAACTCACTTCTAATTTTTTACATCCCTTGGAACAAAGGTTTTTCTTTATCAAAACCTGAGAGAGTGCAATAACAATCAGGGAGGAGGAGGAGGCACTCGGTCCCTGAAAGCTTGACAAAACAGCCGACTGAAGCACTCAAAGTGGCTCTTTTACCCTGGTGGCTTTCTTGTCTGCAATCAAATGTTCTATTCTGGCTCCTCTTTAATGGACATACACAGCCCTTCTCTCAGGTTTTTACAGAAACCCACAGGAGGACACAGCGAAGAGGGAGGCGGCTGTACAGGAGCAGGAAGTCAAGACTGACTGCATGGATTCAGCAGGATACCTATGAAGATCCACCGCTTTGAGTCTGGGTGCCATCACGTTCACATGTCGGCAGAAAATCAAATGTGGATCAGAAACTGATAATTATGACAATTTGAAAAATACGAGAAAGCTGTTAAAAACGTAAATAGAGTGAGAGTGAGAGATTCGAAATGCGTTTTTTTAACTTCACATTGCATGACAACATGCACACAACTAATCAAGGAGACTGATGTATGATAATTAGTGTTTAACTTTGTTGGATTACACCAACTGACTTCCTCTTCAGCTGATTGGGTTGTGATGCAAAACCCATAAAAAGGGCCAAGATGACTTTAGCGCCTCTGTACGGGTTTCTTGTCCTTTTAGAATTGGTTTAAGCCCCACCTTTATAAATTTAAAGCTCTTAACACCCCTCCAAAAATGACATTACAAACAGAATGTCAAAAACACTGTAATCTACTCCAATAAGAAACACAACACCCCCCGAAAAAGATCCAAGATTCAGTATTTGTCGCCTTTTAAGCCTTTCGGACTCCGCTTTTAGAGTTCTTTCAAAAAGCTCCCTTTAAATTTCAGGACTAATTTCTAGACATATTTAATTAAGTATTTGCAGTCTTCATTTAGCGTTCTCCTTCTCTCACATTCCCTTCAGAAGCAGTGGGTGATTATTTAAATTTACCAAGAAAGTCAGGCTTATTAACCCTAAAATGACTCCCAGAAAATAAAAGGAACAAATTTCGACCCAAACGTACATGCACTACACTTTAAATGCACCGATTCAACTCACTTTCCCACTGAAGCTCTTGCACTTCTCTGACAGAGTCTCTGGCGCCATGAAAGCAGGAGTCCCTGCAGTGCTGGACAGCAGAGCGTCGTTGCCCTCGAACTGGTTGCTCACTCCGAAGTCGGCAATCTTCACATGGCCGTCATCTCCTAGTAACAAGTTGGACGGCTTGATGTCCCGGTGGATGATCTTCTGGTAGTGCACTGAGGAGGAAGGAGGTTAAAGAAGCCGTCCCGACAAAATCAAGCAAAATGCATCTGGTGTGTAAAAGTTCAATAACGTGTTTGTGATCCCTTGAAAATCTATGTTTAATTTCTTGTTTCAATTTATTGAACTCCTGGCATCTTTTTGTTGTTTTTTTGGTTTTGTTTTTTAAATCCACCAAATAGTCTCCCAGATTGTGCATGAAAAAGAAAATGTTTCTATTAAAATTCTACATATTTTAAATATTAATTTGCAGATGGCAAACACCTGTGAGTGATCAGAAACAAAACAGACGTTTCCCCACAAAAACACGGGAAGCAACGACACCAGGACACGGCTCTGAAACAAAACCCTCTGTGGTCCGACGCTGTCGTCACCATTTTGTCGAGCAGATTTTTACTTGCGCTACCTGTTCACCATCCAGGCTCACCGCTCTTGTTTGTCCGAAACTAAAATGGCCGCGCTGCGCCGTTCTAAATTTAGCAGCTCGACGTCAAACCGCGACCTCCCTCATTTCAACACTAACCCAGGTATTTAACTCCAAGCGGACCTGAGCAGTCGACCACTTCGATGGCTTCATTTCCATCAGCTCCTTATTTCCTACATGTGATTTTATGTGCTTGAATGTCAGTTTTGTTCTGATGAAATCAACAATGCAGATTTGCTTTTCTTTAACCACAATCCCACTTGGGGGAAAAAAAAAACACAAAACAAAGAAGAATCTGAAGAGGGATAATTAACAAAACAACCCATCAGAGAGAGAAGTAGTGATTAAGTCCCAGAGGAAAGCATCACCGGCTTTGATTGCCGCTTCATAAGAGTGATGGGAGGACTGTGAACCAGGGGTCATCTTTGAGTGAGAGTTAAGTATGTCCTCAAACGTCTTCTGGAATATAGGCCCTGAATGCGTCCCTGATGGGATAAGTGGTCTTCCTGAAACAGGGGGCGCTTGACTTCTCGATTATTAAACGCAGCAGCGCTCACAACAGTCAAATTAAAATGACGCCATCGGGAGCCCCGGCTAAGATTCGCGGCTGCAGGAGACATTTTAATGCACTTTAAGCACTAAAACTACGATCCAGGAAATTAAAGGCTTGAAGTTTATTGTGCCTGCAAGAGGTCAGCGTTTATATTTCAACAAAGCAGATGGACACGTTCCACAACAGATTCTCTTTCACTTATCTGCCAAACACAGGCTTCGCATCTCTTTCAGTACTTCGCAAAAGTACTTGTCCCCTGCTTCATCTATAGCAGACCTCAATGCATTTTATTGGGACTCTCAGTTCAACTTCTGTCTGCGAAGTTCTGTCACTTTTAGAAGCATCTCCACTCCATTGCAGAAGGTTCAAGTCTGATTGGTACGTCGTTCAAACGCGGTTTGATCTGAGGAATGGATCTTTAAAATCTTGCCACAGTTTCCTTAACTGGATTTAGGCCGAGACTTTGACTAGGTCACTCGCAACTCGAAACGTGCCGTCATCTTCACTGCATTCCTCGAGGACTGGTGTCCTCAAGGAAACTTTAAGACGTCTCTCTGCTTCAGCGCACACGGCTCCAATATTAGCTCATTAGCAGAGCTTCGGCTTGACTGAATGCTAGTGGGGGTGTTTAGCCTCAAGGGAAATATCTAAACGTTCCAGGATGACCTCCATCTCCCTGCTAATGCAGAGACGCTGCACAACCTCGTTGTGAGAGTTTTGCACATCTGCCGCAACAGGAAGTCCTTCCTGGCCGTAGCGATAACCAATCTACAATGACTGTTAAATAATGAGTGTAACTACAACATCTTTCCCTCTGAAATGTTTCCTTTTTTAAAAATCGACTTGAAAGCAGCCAAGTTTTACAATGAGCACTGGTATCATCTGACATCAGTCACTTGTCCCCAACAATTCCTGGAGGACGGGTGATGCACTCTGGATAAGTCTAAATTAAGACGGGACAATAATAAAACAGAGATCACTCGCTAATAATTAAGTAATTAATCAAAAAGTTGATTTCTTGCTGCTTTGGATTCATTGCAGCAATCCAAAGCAGTCTATGTATTGGACTAGCACTGCAAATTATTACTTCCTTATTACTCCAACGTCTGAGTTTTCTATGGTATTTATAATGCGGTAATTTCGCGCAACTCGAGTCGAAACGACAAAAATGTGGATTCTCCTGACTTTTGAAGACGACTAGCTGCACTGGATTTTTTTCAGGGGTATCAGAGTAAAGCGGGCAAACACAAACACATGCCTCTTTTTCTGATTTCAACTTGAAAGGATGATTTTACTTCTGCTTTCTAATTATGTACAGAGTTATGTTGGTTTTGCACTATAGGACACATACATTGAATGAATGCATTGAAGTTCTCTGGTTGCAGAAAAATGTGGAAAGAGGCGGAAACTTTTGTAGCAATCCGATTGTTCCTCGTTGGGGGAATTATGGCAGAAATGTCAACGTTAAAGGAAACATTGCTTTTGTCATGACTTGCAGACTTACGGTACTCAATGCCCAGGATGATGTCTCTGAAGTATTGCCGGGCTTGCTCCTCTGAGAAAGGAGTCTCTGTGGGCACCTCCATCACTGGACTGCAGATTCACGCAGCCGGGCAGAAACACAAAGTCACACATTGCTTTAAAAACTGGATCCAGATCGAGGAGCAAAAGCAACGAGTTGATGTCTGAAGCGAAGATGAGGCGACAACACTGAATGCGATAAATAACTAGCCCAGCGCCTCTTTGTCCTCAGCGCTTTCCTTAGACACACAACGTTATGATCACATGGCAACATGTGACCAGCGGACATAAATCATGCTGCATTCCGATTGGAGCCGAATCAGATCAGAAAATTGGCATTTGAAATGGTTTGCAAGGTCTTGAGATGATTGTGAACTGGTGCTGGATGGATGAGCTGAACCGCCTTTTTTGTTTAAAAAGCAGACGTACTGAATATACATGAATATTTGGGTCATTTTATTTGTTCTCCAGGCATTAAAAAAAACTAAATGGCATTTAGAAAGAAGAACCGCTCATGTTTATTATTGTGAGACGATTCAGACACATCAGCACCAGATCCACGACCCGAAGCCCTTTTCTAGCCGGCAATGACAGTGAAAACTCCGAGACTGTAACGTCTTTCTCTGAGGCGAGAGGTGGAGGAAAAACTCTGGCACAGTGTTCAGCTTGGAGCAATGAGCGCTGCAGAGGATGGGATGGAGAGACGGAGGAGGAGGAGGAAGACAGAAATCAGAGGACGTGTTCTCTACTCACCCCTTACGCATCAGCTCAAACACTATCGGGAACAAAACAAGGGGACAACAAAGAGGACACACGTGAGGTGGAATATTTGTGCTCGTCAGCTCATTGTGATCACTTCTGCCCAGCGAGGTCACATCCAAGCTTCCTAGTAGCCGTCCTCTACCTAGCCTAGGTTTATCTCTCGAACAGTTTGGCGTTCAGGAGGAGAACTGCGATCTGGGAATGCTGAGCGAGGATTCCACCTAGTGTGTGAACCCTGAGCTGGTGCAAAAGACACTCTGGACTGTGACGAAATTACGCAGACACCTGTGTGATTGGTAAGTGCTGCCGAGCAGAAAGCAGATCAATTAAAGGGAGAAATCAGACACACATACCCATGTAGAGGTTGTCCTCCGATGGATCGTCCAGCACCTGGAACATTAAGTAGCGGAGAACGTTCAGATATTCAAGCCGGAAGAACACATTGCTTAAAATTTAGCTTCATCAAATTGTGCATTTGAATTTTTTTTTTTTAAATATACTGAATTTTTAGGCAGGGATAATGGACATAAATTAACATTTCTGCAAGTTCACCAAAATTAGCCCAAATAGGCTATTTTTGTTCCACTATACACAAACAATGAGTAATTTGTCTTGCTGAAAACAAAACACAAAACTAGGCTGAAATGACTCAACTACACACCTTTTGTGAATAAAAATGCAAACGGTAAATGCACACTTTAATTTTTTGTGCATAAAAAGGAGTCATGACCAGGAAATGATCAGACATCTCCAAAACAACAGAGAACATCCTTCTTTCATCGTTTTCTTTTTATTCTTTTAAAGCATCAGGTTGAGATATTAGCGACGCTCTTCAAGGTCTGCTGTGTGTTTTGGCTGTGTGGCGCCTCAGGGCTCAACACTAGGAGCCCTTCTTTTCTCTCCGCCTCATTTGACTTCGTTTTGAGGCCATTTGGAATTTGACTTTGTTGTTATGCTGATGACTTTTGAGTTTACATTCTCGTTAAAAAAAAAAAAAAAAAAGACTTTGCTCTTTCTGTTATGACGTCCACGTAAAATCGAGGCATGGATGGATCGAATGAATAAAACCGTGCAAGTACACAATGAACGCAAACCACATGTCGAGTTGCTTTCTAAAATAAACAGGCGGTTGTTTTGACCACAAACAGGATAACGTGGGCAGACGTTTTAATCCCGTCCATTAGGCTGCGAGCCTCAGACCGCCGCATGCGAGCTGAGCTCCTCTGATGACAGTTTTTCCCACTGAGCTGACAGATTTTCTTGGATGCAGATTACAAACAGCTGGCAGCGGCGGTCAGACGGTCTGGACAGATTTCACAACGGTGGGAAATACGAGATTTGAATGACGGACACTGCGTTTCGTTCAGGGAGTCTTCAAAGGGATGATGGTCGGAAATAGTTGGTGACGCAAAGCAACGTTGTGATTCTGCTGTAGTCGCTGTTCATTATGTCACTGCTGAATAAAGCAGTTTTATAGAGAATGTTGCAAAAATTAGACCAACTCTTGAACTTTCCCTTTTCTTAGAAAAATATTTTCTTGGCATTTTATGTGATTAAAAAAAACAAAACGTGGTCTACAGTTCTGCCTGTTGAGGAAATGTTACATCATTTTGAAATGATTTCTACTGAAAAATGTTGAAAGCATTTTCATTAAGTCCTTCTGGGGAAATACTTTCTAGAAGAAATTACAACTGTAAAAGGTTTTGTCTCTACCAGCTTTGCACAGCTGGAGTTTGGACCTTTTGACCACAGCTCCTCAATTCATTCTCAGTCTTGAACACATCTTTCCGTATTAGCTGTGCGTCGCAGGTGGCAAATTACAAATGAGACATTTATTGGCTTTCTTTCAAGAATGTCTTTCATTGCAACACTTTTCCAAAAATAGCCAGTTTTGTGGATTCCCCTGTTAACAGTTCCTGTTTTTGAGGAGCTCCTCCTGCAGGGTCACTGTGAACGGCGTTATTCTGACCAGGTTGATGCGAGGATGGGCGCCCGATTTCATTTCAGGGCATCGTATAAAAGGGGCTAAATATTGCATTAAAAAAAAGGGATAAGTTGGGGGTGATCATTTATCTTATCATTTCTCATTTATTGCGATAAATTTCTGATTCTGATAAATCAGAATCATTTTTTGTGGCACAATAAATTCAGGTTATGTTTTAAGCAAACCTGTTCATATTTTGGAGATTTTTGATTTTTTCCCAATGTCAAACAAAATCAACAACAATAGAAATAGGACTAAATGCATTTATGGCGTCAGGCTTAGTGAAACAAATCACACTCCTTTATGTGGATATGTTGTTCAATAGTGGTGCCATGAATGTTCGTATAAGTGTGAACATTTTCATACTCTGTGTCAGCCGGTCACTTAAAATCCCAATAACATATGTGAAAGTTTGGCCCTTAGCCACTATTCATGGCATTACAACCGCAAACGTAAACTACTTTTGCACTGCGCAAAGCAGAACTCGTAACACAACATGAAACGGATGACGTCTTTTCTCTCGACGTGAGAAGAAGCAGAGTCCGCATCGAGGAGCATGCCTGTTTTCATCGCTGTCAAACTGTCACCACACCGGAGAAGTAACGACGTTACTCACATCCGTTTACAGTCGCTACATCGAATGATCGTGGCAGCAAAATATAATATGCAGGACTGCTGATAAGACTGAGGACATGTAGCTCCAGCGCTGACATGTTGAAATGGATTACGCTCCCAGCTGGAGCTGCGTTTAACCGGCTGCAGCCCAGATGAGAGGCAGACCTGCTCTTCACTGCCGCCTCCTCTTCCTCACTGGCCCCGGAGCGTCTATCCTGTTTTTCTGTGTGACATTAAAGGAGCGGGTCGCCCTGCGTCGAGCATCTCCAGCCGCAATCAAGCCCTTACTAATAGTCTGCCCCTTTCACCAGCTATTTACAAGGATATTAACCCACTTTGTGCTCTGAGTCACTCTCCTGTGACACCAGCATTCTGTTTCCACCTCCTCTACTTCACTTTTCTCCTCAGGGGGCTCAGTTCAGCTCAGTTCAGCTCAGTTCAGCTCCATGTTCCTTCATTTCCTCCCTGCCTGGCCCTCATCAGCGTCTCTCCCCACTCTCTCAGCGTCAGCCTCAGTCTCACCCCAGTTAACCAGCTGTAAATAAAGTACCGGCAAACTGAGGATCTTTTCCAGCATACGGGCCCATGAGCCTCCTTTGCGACAGATGGCAAATACAGAGAAACAGAAATCTGGTACGAACGCAGCTGCACTGAGTGTTTAGCTTCGAGGAGGTTTCTCCATAAATGTCAGACAGAAACATCTCACATACTGTTATATATTAAAACAAACCGTCAACATGTCTTCATTTCTTTGTCTGAGATTCTTTTATGTTCTCTGGCAGACAAAACTCCATGCTGCTTCTGTATAAATTGAGGATTTATAACTTGCAAAATGACAAATGAATCAACAATGGAAGCACAGTTAAATGTTAAAAGCTGAAATTAATGGTGGCGGAAACTGAAATCTTTAAAAGTTGTAAAACGATGTTGGATCCAGTCGGGTTTTTCGTTTTAAACACATGGACAAATGTGATTCACTAACATCAATGTCATTATTTTCTGCTCGCTGTTCTCACGTTTGCTGAATTTTGACTGAATCCCTAATTTGCAGTCATGTGTAAAACAATGATCAACGAGTCAAATGAAGACTTAAAATTCAATCAATCCCAAAACCCACATTTGTCCAAACAGGAACACGTAGCTGCGTTAAAACCCAGTGGACCTTCCTCCTGTGCAACTGAGGAGAAAATCCAGATATGGGAAAAACAAGTTCATGCATTTACTTCTTCGCATTTGGACAAAAGTCACATGCAAATCCTGATCACGTATGAAATCAGAAGATTTGTACATTTGCTGACAAGGTGAGAGACAAGATATTAGTGGCTTATGACGCTACAGTTGCTTTGGGGCTTTTTATTGGTGCCATTGTGCTGTTGAAATAATCAATACCAACTATATTTGATCGCTTATAGTCCAAAATCTAAAATACTTAGACAATATAATTCATGAACCCATTCCTTTGCATATCATCTCTATATATGGAATGAAATAACGATTCATATTTACACAATAAATAAACCTTTTTTTGTTTTTACAAGGTAAGAATTGTCTATTCATCTACCAATGGGGCTGAAGCAAGGTGGAACAGGATAAATCTTTATTATTTCCTGATTATTTTCTCAGACTGACGTCCTTGTATGCATGAAGCATTCAGCTCAGCGAGCGGCCTTGAAGCCGATGGTCCAGCCTCACAATGACGGCACAGCCAATGATTTGTAACGGCTCACAGTTTTCACAAAGCGCAGAGCGCTATTCGCCCGAGTTAAACATCCTGGTAGCTGCTTTAAACTGGTGCAGAGGTCAGCGCCAGTCAAGGACACCCGACTCTGGGACAATTAGTTCCCAAAATTTGCAGCCAAATCCACAAGGAAACTCCCAGGTTTGCTCGCGGCTGTTTAAATAACGTTTATTGACACGGCCTTGTGCAGGCTCTTTCAATAAGCAAGGTTTTATTTGCCCAACACTTTATGCTTTTTCAACGTAGCAGGAGAAACGTCCCTTTGCAAAGTGAAATCCGTCAATGGCTTGCTGCAAAACTGCTGGTTACAGCAGAGACTAAGAAGGGAGAAGAAAAAAAAGAAAAGAGTATTTAGGCTTTCAGGATAATGACATAACGTGTGCTTTAGGGGGAGGTTTTACTGGAGCTCTGATAAGAGCTAAACATGCTGGTGAGAACAGCACAGGCTCGTCTGTCTCTTCCCACCATCTGTGACAAATGACCAAATCACTTTCATCAGCTTTAATCTGCTCCACTTGGCGTGGGCTCAGTGTTTAAGGGACGCATGGAAAGTATATTCATAATTAGACGAGACTGCACTGAGGTCTCCTGGGGGAATCAGCTGGGAACCCCAGTGATGGGGGCATGAGCCACACCCCTTTTAAAAGCAGGGAGAGATGGAGAGGGCTAATTTAATGCGCCCATCAGGAGTGTGAGAGAGCAAGGGTGGACAAAGGATGGGAGAGATGAGAGCGAGGGTGTTCTGTCAGAGCTAGCACACGGGCGCAGAAGCACTCAACTTTCCTTTTTTTTTGTTCTTGAAAACTCAGCAGTCCTGGCTCTTAATTTAGCCAAGCGAGCCAGACTGCTTCCCGACAGCCCAAGCTTAACTCCCAGCAGTGCATCGGTTGCCCCCGCCATCTGGGCTGGATTTGAAAACACCGGCGATGTCGCCAGAGAGCGGCGTGCGTCTTGAGTCACAGTCGTCGATATCAGCGATCGTCTTTCCAAAACAAAACGCCCCTGCGGAACCTGGACGTCTGTCGATTCTCGAAATCAGACGCAGTTTATTTGCAGGATAGAAGCCTTTCTTGTCCAAGAATAAATCAACAAAGGATTAAGAAACGTGGCTGAAATGAAAAAGCGTGAGTCACGGCACACTGAGGGCAAAGGTTATCTGAAAACAGCCCAGTGAAGGATGATCCTGAGCACAAAGGATGCTAACCGTGCTGCCCGTGTCAACTTGCTGTCAGTAGAGAGGCAGATGTGAAAACATCCACACTGAACCGCTTCTTAGAGCTACATTTATTTTCCACTTTAAAATTAAACTAAATGAAAAACGTTGCAGAACGTGATTTAATGAGGTGGTTCAACGACACTAAACCAGACCTAAACAGAAGTTTTGGACATGTCAGGCAAGTCAAACGCATTACAGTTGCAGTTGAGGAATGTCGTGTACAGACGTTACTAAACTTTCCTCAATCTCATGCTACAGCATGCAAATGTTCTGTCAGCGACGTTGACTTTCTCGTACCAAATGCTTTATGTGGCTCCAGCTGCAGGGCAGGACGATCTACTTTTTTGATCAGTTATATTTAAACCATTTGAAGCTCTGACCTTCATTCCCACGGGGTCAGGCGATGATGTCATGGCTAAACATACACTATTTAGTACACATTTTAAACCCTGGATGCCAACACACCAGCCATATGCACAGCAGATGGAACCGATGTTACAAAATGTTTTATGAAGTGAAGAAATAAAGCGCTCATGGAAAAACCAGTTCTAGATCAACAAACATAAGCGGCAAGATAATAAAACAGTAGAGCAGCAGCTTAGGTTCTTCTGTGAGTGAAGCCAGCTAGCTGTTTGTGCTAGCATGAGTTAATACATTGAAGTTTAAATATGCTTTTGTCTCAAGGTTTGTTCTGTTGTTCTTGACTGGTTATTGCAAATAAGGTACAGACTATTCTTCTTGTATTAGCTGCTTTTGGAGAGTTAACCCTGAACAAGTGAAAGTGAATAATTTCAATTATATTTCAGTACTAAATGCTTTTGTTCTTTAATTAGGCTTAAAACTCAGCACACAAAACTGTGTCGGTTTTATTCCTCTATCCTACAAGTGGAGCAAAGGCTTCAACACATCCATTTTTAAACCGTTTAGCTTGATGCTGCTCGCTTCGCCAAATGGTGAATCCAAGATATTGACGATGCCTTCCGGTACAAAAACATCCTTATGAAACAAAGACAAGTGAAGCAACCAATTACAAAAGCAGAAGATTCATACCTCCACCATCTTGACAATGTTGACATGGTCTAGTTTTTTAAGAATGGCAATCTCTTGGTAAACTCTTTCCAAGGGTCCTAAGACTTTTGGCTGCTCTCCTTGGGCTGCCTTGGGTCCTCTTGGGGGAGGCCGACCTGCGGAGCACCACACACTCCAGATTACACACGGTCTGACTTTATTGTCAAACATTTAGACCATCTACTAATCCTTAAAGCTACAGTATGTAACTTCCATTTGAAAAAAAAAAACAACAGGTTTTTGACCCATTTGTTAAAACTGACACCATGTCTCAACTCCACCTGAGCGACTGGTTGCTTTTAATCTGATTGGATTAAAAACAACCAATCAGAGCCAGGAGAGTCTTAGCACTGTCAATCAACCTCTTGTACTCGCTGCTAATGTGCTAATGCTGGAGGAACAACTTACCATGACAGATCCATTGTCGTTAATGGATCTGTCTATCTAACCTAGCGCTCACAAGCCTTGCACTAGTTATTAATGGGAGCACTGGGAGAAGGTAGACAAGCTCAATTATCTGTCTCACACCATACTGTCACAACATAGAGACAATTTAAACAAATATCCATAAGAATACATATATTAAAAAAAAATAAATAAAAGTCACATACTGCGGTTTTAAATGGAACCAACTCACGTGGAAAACCGCACTGCTTCATTAACCTCTTCTTGGACAACACCTTCATGGCCTAGAACAGAAAGACGTCTGATCAAACAGCATGACCACATATCCAGGAATACATCATAAGCTCTACAGAAGCAGAAAAAACGGATGTATAAAAGCGGCAGAGGGAAAGGAAAAATGAAAGACATTTTCAATTAAATGAAACTGCATAACAAAATATTTAACTACTGAGGGTCTTCTACTGTGGATTTCAGCCCAGTTGCAGCACAAACCAACATCAAAGTGCAGAACATAAAAATTTTAGGGGATATATCTGCTGCTCTCTGTTGCAACAGGCCGGAGACGTCGACAGCCCCTGAATCTTTGATACAAAAACGGCTTCCAAAGAGAGCCATGAGGGAGCGCTTTTCCTAAAAATATATACAAAAATTGATAAAACAGCTGAAAAAGAAAAATGCAATTATTGCAAATCTTCAATAAAATGTAAAGAAACAACAACAACACTGGCACATTTGTCAGCACATGCTGCCACACTGACTTGGTGGTTTTACTGTCGGCTCATCGGAAAGGTGGGACGCTTTCTATTTCGATGACACAAAGCCGAAGTGTCGCTCGGCGGCCTCTGCGGTCGTCATGGCTAAAGCTTCGGCAGGAAGGTGGCGCCCTCGCCTCTACATGGTTTCCATGGCGCGCCGCCTGCGTTCCTCGTCAACATCCTCTTAAAAATAAAACATCGTCCGTCTCGATGCCTGAATCAATCTGTCTGCACTGGGAGGAGAGCCTCATCACTTCCAATATGAGACAGAATACACTAAGCTTTCCAAAAATAAAAAATAAAAAAATAAATAAAATGATTAAATGTAATCTTTCCGTAGCTTAACATCAACCACAGGCTAAGGAGGTAATGTGAGTGGATTTTGGCTTCGATCAAAGCCTGCAAGCAAGTTGAATATGCATGAAGGGTCCAGCGTGATTACCCCGTTACTGCCTCATTAAGCAGAAGACGTCCCCATCAATCACATGTGTAGACTAGATTATGCTAGACAAATGAGAAATAGAGAAATGAAAGAAGTAATATTTACTGAGCTGAACAGAACTCCTGTGTGTGGGGGGCTTATAAGATGTGTGTATTACTACAGGCAGAAACTACTGAAGCCCTTTGCTACACAGATTATATACCGAGTCAAAATGAAAGTTTTCAGTCACTGAGACAGTGTGACTTCTTTGTGAAGGTAATTTATAACCTCACTTGGATGTTGTTTGTAACACCAGGAGTGTACTGTAGACAGTTCTAGTGAATAGAAGCAGCTGGAAAACTCACTTTTCAACTAACTTCAGCTTTTACTGGCAAGAAGAAGAAGAGCATCAGGATAATAACGAGCCAGAGCGACCAGTGACTTTACCGTCTCATCATGGATGTTATGTGTTACAGATGCAAAGCGTGGCATGGCGTTGTGTGATGGCATAGCGTTGAGTGATGCAACGATACGAATGATGATCAGAACCACTGACGTGTGAATTGTCCCCCAGGAATCTGTTGGGTTTTGTTTTCGTCCTGTGAGAAAATCACTCGCCTTGCTTCAGCTGAACAAATTGCCGTTTCTCAGAGGGACCTCATAAGCATTTTGTCGATTTCTCGCAATATCTTATATCTAAATGACATCTGGATCATAAGAATAAACTTCCACCCTGTTGAATTGGCAACATTTTCCAACACATCCAGTTTTGACCCATTCTGCTGTTGAGTTTGACAGCCCTTCAACTTGAAGCTCCTTCTCTCAACTAAAATGCTCCATTTGTGCCATTAATTCCCACAGTTGGCTGCTATTATGCTGCTTAAGAAAAGGGAATGATGAAATTAAGGGAAAGTAATTTTTTTTTTCATTTGTAAGTGAGATTTATAGTTTTCAATTTTTTCCTCCCTTGACCGTCTTTTGGAAACAAAGCAATCCTCAGGAAACGAGTTAAGACGCAGTAGCATGTCTCATCCTGTATTTGAAGTACAGTTTCTGAAGGCCACAACTTTACCCTCATGGTCAAGTTTAGGCTACACTGTGCATGTTTTTGACCGTGCCTGAAAGAAACTGCTGATGTACTGGCATGTTAGTTGTACTAATGTGTAAATCTGGAAAAGCAGACAGAGTAAAATACTTCACCAGTTGTGCTGCTTTTGCAGTGCAGTTGCTTTTTTGTTGTTGTTTTTTCACAACAAAAAAGTATGGGAAATTTCTAAACTCCCAGTAAAATCCAGCTCTCCGCACGACGAGCTGCTGCACGTCTGAGCGGCTCTGTCATATCGTAATCACAATCAGGAGTCAAAGTTTGTGGAATAAAGATCTTTTTGTGCCCTTCGGTTCAGGGCCCTTACATAAGCGCTCGGCCGCCGACATTTCTTGCGCGTTTACAAGCTTGAATTTTCATAACAAAAAACCGTTCGGCCGCGAGCTTCCACTGGCTGCGGTTCAAAAGTACATCTTAAATCCATCCAGAGTTGGCAGCTTAAGACGACGTGACTCACCGAGAGGCTTTCATTGTTGCTGCTGCACAGGACAGCTTAGCTATGTTAAGGCATCAAAAGGCTTACATCTGCAAATCGCTTTGCTTTCCAAGGGAACGCATCACCTTGATGGAAATGCCGAAAAATGACCTTGCACCTCTGCCTCGTATGAACTCTGGGGTTTTTTTGTTGACTGACCTCAGAGCAGCAGGTGTATAAAGCAAAAGCAGCAGGGATGTGTGAAGAAAGAAAATACATATATATATATATATATATATATATATATATATATATATATATATATGTACATTTTTACATATATATATATATATATATATATATATATATATATATATATATATATATATATATATATATACAAAAAGATGCACTTCAAATGCCACCAGCTTTTATTTTATGTTCAATGCAAGGGGCGTTTATACAGCTAAAGGAAATAAAACTCAAAGCTAGGCAGTGGGGTATAAAAAAAGAACAGAAAACACAATCAATACCAGCGATGTTCTGTCAACAACTAAAGGTGAAGGTTTGATGACGACCACAAAGCAACCGGTCCAGCTACGAAGCTTTTCTGACACAAAACCAGACTTACATAATGTTTGTCGTCATCTTCGTTGTAGGCGAGCTTGACCACGCCATAGGAGCCCTACAATGCAACAACAACAACAAACCTCATTAAATACGGACCTGTGCAAAGGGAACATGCAGCGTTACATTTAAACCCCCGAGCGAGACTGCTAACATTTCTAAAGCATCGCTTCAGAGAGCAGACGGTGGCACCGCACTGACAGAGTGTTTACAAGGCAGCGCGGCTCATGTTCAGAAACCACATTTTTATTCTTTGGCAGCTCAGAATAAGATCTTCCCACGCAGGCGAACACGCACACAAAACAAACGTGTCCTTTTCTGACGTGTTTCCTTCTCGAGAAACAGGTTTTTTAGCAGGTTTAATGTTTTTGAGATTTGCTGCAAATTATTTGAAAAGTAAATTACCTTCTGACAGATATTTCCATCAAAAGCAGCAAAACAGATTTATAGAAGCTTCGAGCAGCTAAAACAACAACAACAAAACGTCTTCCAATGGCGAGGTCATGCTTTTATTCGGCGTGATTATGAAGCGTGCTGAAAGAAGATTAAGTAAATTGAAAAGGAAAAAATAAAAAGAACTTGCAAGTTTATATCACCAAAGCCCTAAAAGCCGGTGCAAACGTTTAAAGATCAGAGAAATGCATTCTCTCTGCAATTTAAATTTTTTAAGAAGTACAAAACATAATGGCAAGAATGAAGTGCGTTCTCATTCTGGCTACTTCAACAAAAACTAGTTTCTTTGTGCGACAGGCGTCGTTTTTACATGAAGCATGTGCCAGATGTAAATAAAACTTACATTTTTGCAAACAACAAAGTTAGTTCTATGACTCAAGGTCAACTCTAAACTGGTGGGTCTTTTCCTCGATTTAAAGGAACTCATTGTTTCTGAGTCTTTCCCCCACACACCATACATGTGGTGTAACTCTTGAGGTGACCGGGTTATAAAGACTGAAGCTTCAAACTATCGCTCCAACCCTCTTCCTGTTGCCTGTGACTCAGTCAGTGGCTTGAAAGGTTTTCCAGGGAAGAAAAAAAAATAAATCTGCACATTCACTGTTCACTGTCGATTTCATTGCACGAAATGATTGTATATGGAAACAAGTCGGTTTTCAGCCAAATTTAAAGAACAGTCTTTGTGGCGCTTCTTTTTTTAAGGTTTGACATTTTTGGAAGAGAGAGAGAGAAAAAAAAAAACAAGCTCACCTTTCCAATCTCACTCTTCAGCTTATACTGGTTCAGCTGAATGCAATCCTGGAAGTAGGACAAAAGATGGAGAGTTAATTATCAGCGTTATCGTCTGCAGAGTCATTATTTGCAGCATCTCAACCAAAGGAAATAATTTAAAAAAAACAACACATTCCCTCTGGGTGAGTGTGTCTCCATGTGCCCTGCAAGTCATTTGCTTCTGAGACGCAGGAAACGATGCAGTCTGTAGTTTCTGTTTACTGTCTGCAAATCCATTAGAGTGCTACTGCTTAAATGGCTGATTTGCAGCTCCATAGCAACCGCCGCTCCAGCACGGAGCCAGCCAGGGCCGCGGCAGCGCAGAGCGGGCCACAGCGGGACACGAGGGGAGGAGGAAGAGGGAGGAAGAAGAGGAGGCGAGAGGAAAGGTGAGGATCTGGTGGTGCTGGTCGGGGTGGGAGGGTGTTTTGTCAAGAGGCTAGTGCTGAGAGTGCAGCACTGCTCGGTAATGAGCAGAAAGTGAGCAGGGGATTTCTGACTGGAGAAGGAAGAGATGGAAGTGCAGAGAGAGAGACGGGGCTGAAAGCGGCTCTCTGGTTTCAGCCGGGGGCCGAGCCTGGAGCGTTGTTTACAGGATGAAGGGTGGAAGGTGAGCGCAGAACTCAAACTGGTGATTTGGATGTGGAGCTCGTCTCGCAAAGATGTAAAATTTAGAGTGATTGCTAGTCTGGTGTTACGACCCATTCGTAACACCGGCTATTGCCTTCTTATGCAATTCTGCTCAATTCAAATTTCACTTCACAGCACAATCTGGGCTTTCTCCCATTCACTTGGATTCCTCTGGTAGAATTTCAGCCGGGCCGATCAGCGAACAGAAGAGGTAAACAATGACGGCGTTTTAGAAATGCAGTTTGATTATATTTTTAGCGATGGCAGCAGATTTCCAAATATTAAGCCGACATCAACAGCTGTTTGGCTCAAGACCACCTCTCTGTTCGCAGACTGCGGCGCCGAACAAACAGAAATAACGACATGTTGACAACCGTCAACATCCATGTAAAGTTTCAGACACCCCCCCCAAAAAAAAAAAAAAAAAACATTTATGGAGTTCCAACGATGGTCTTTTAATGGCTGCTTTCAAAAACGTTCCTGGAACTTTAACTGGTTTTATTTTCCAAATTCACAAGCTTTGAAGAATTTAAAGGACTCATGAAACCCTGTATGTAGTTTGCTACGACTGTATGGCTGTTAATATAGCACAGGAGTGAAAACAGAATAAATAATAATGAACTGGCTGAGGATATAAAATGCAGGAGAAAAAAGTGGAGGGGTGTTGTAGACATGGTGCTTCACTTAACACTCAGACAAAGCATCCAGAAAGCCTTAAGTACATCTGACACATTAAAACGCTTCTCACACAAAAATCCAACTCCGGTGCTGGACTGTGACGCTGGGGATTTTTTCCATCTTTTGCTTTAATGTCAGACAATCTCTTTCCTTTAACACTGAAGCCCCACTTCATTCACGAGAAGCGTGATTCACAAGAGCTTTCCACATTTTCTCGCTTCCAAACAGCAATCCTCCATGTATTTCACTAGGATTCACTGTTAATTTCTTAAGCTACAAACAAACAAAAAGTAGTTTTAATCTGCTATAAACACAACGCCGGCTCCATGTCGCGTTGATTAAATGTTCGAGAACGTTTTAAGGCATGTTTGATGGATTAACGACGTGCCCGATTCTGCTCATCTGCAGACTTACTGCAGCCAAACACGGCAAAAAGCTGAGTCTGTGTTTGACGTTTAAATCCAGTGAGAGCAAAACTATTTCTCCCCTGGTCAGAATGAAATAAAAAGTGAAGCACTGTCACATCTGGAGCGGGAAGCAGATTTATCACCGTTTAAATCAATGCTTGCTGTACAAACGCAGCAACCTCGTCTCCGATCGCCTTGTGTATGGATGGTGCTGTACTGTAAAAAAATAAATAAAAAATCTGTAAAAATGCCCGTTTGTTTAGTAAACAGTGGATTAGTCATATTAGTGAATCTACAGCTGGACTTCTTCTTTTGTTGTGACAATGTCACAGGGTGACTCAAGTGGTTCAGGCCTCTTTTTGTGTTTCCGGCCCGCCTTGTGCTCCCACAGCCATAACCACGTCCGGCACATTACGGTCTATCTGTTCCCGCAGCCCTGGATTAATCTCCTATTTCCTCTGGATTATCTTAATCCCAACTTTAATCCACTGAACAGCAAAGTTATTGTGTCTGAGTTTGAACCCAGTTCCCTTTGTGGCAGGAAATGATGACACGTAGAACGTGTTTACAAAGCTGGGTAAAAAAAGAAAAAAGAAAAGAGATGCCGGCGTCTTTCCTCAGACGGCTTTATGTGGGATTATCTAAAGATTTCTTTTGTTTCTAAGAAGAGCTGAGACACAAGCGAATCATGTAGACCTTCTCTTACAACAAATACAAACATTAAGCACCGTTTTAAAGCTACAATGCTAACCACATATTCCCTCAGGTTCCAAGAAAAAAAAATAAAAAATTAAAAATGGCGTAATCACTGTTTGCACAGACAGAAAGTGTTGTCGCCTTCCTCTGTAAAGTGGCATTTTTGCGAATCCAGTGAGAGAGCTGAAATATAACCCGGTCCTTCATAAAGACTTAGTGAGAGCAGGAACGGGAGCGGGCACAACGACAGCTCTGCTCATCTGTGACAGCAGTCTGTTAGATTCAGAGGGCTTCCACATCCTGGCAGATCTTATGCATTTTTAATGCTCACTCCGAACTGAGAAATGCAAGAGGATGATGGATATGCCAGATGATATCCCTTCTACGTTACACGTATAACCAGCTTCTACTCTCCCTATGATACACATGATATATCCCGCTGCCAAACATTTGAATAAACAGCTTTTAACAAATATACTTTATTTTTGGGGGTTTCGAACCAGACGCAGGTAATCAGCAAAAACAACGGTTTTCTAGTTCCTTTTTTTCCCCACCAAACCGGATATATGAAAATTATTAGAAGAAATGATGTAACTGCCTACTTGGTGCAATCCCACCATCACATCTCCCACTATCAACCATGGTCTGAATCACCTGCTTTTTACTGATCCGTCGTCTCTTTTCTTTGTCTTTCATAAAAGCAAAAACTTATTACTTAATATCATTGAAACAAAAATGTCCAAACCAGAGAGTGAGGAAAAAATGTCTGTGTATTTTTTTTTTAGTAAGGGTCTGGCTCCTATTGTAATCAAGTTCCACTTAAGTCTAACTTTGAACCTGTTTGTATGACTGGCTTGAGTCTATCTGTAAACGCCTTGAGACCATATTTTTTGGGGAACTGGCGCAATGTGAACAAACTTCATCCTGGTCACTGGGTGCAGCAATTAGCCGGACAGAGCAGAGTTCAGACACTCCACCTTCCACTTCAAGGTTGGACAAATACTCGGGTTAGAAGGTAATGAAGTTTGCTTTTGACTGACAGTTCTAATTTGACGAAGCTGCGTCAAAGCAAGACAACCGAAACACAACAAACTGATCGTCCATGAGGGGTAATCTCTAGGTTTGCTATTGCCAGACTGCTGCTTTCTTGTCGCGCTGCAGTCAGCCGCCCACGTCGGCTGGCACCGAGGACCCGTCTGGTTCTGGGGAGCAGGGAGGTGAGATCGCATGTAGGAGCTCATCTATCAGCTGTGAGCTGAATTCAGGGGTCAGATTTAGCCATTTCATTAAAAGAAGTGTTGAAACTCCAATAATGCTCTGCTGTAATTAACATGCATTCAGAGCTATTTAACAAAAAAAAAAAAACTTGGTAAGTGGCTGTATAACAGCTCGAGTGCACTCACAAAGTGTCAACTAGCTGTGGCTGTTTGGACTGTGCACATCCTGCTCCGTTATGAACGCAACACTGGGTTTGTCATTTCACTTTGTTGAAATGCTGAAGAGCAGGTGAGAGTGAAGGATTCAGGTCAAGTTCTGATTCTGAATGTTAAAGGGGAAGTATTACATTTTACAGCACAATTAAGTAACACTTAGCTTCAGTTGTATATATCAATGTATATATTAAAGGAAATTTGACTAATGTAATGGTTCAATTGTTGATTTGATGTTTTTAAGATGTAAAACGTTGCTGAAATGTACTATAAAAATACAATTTGATTTAATTTTTGATTTGCAATTGAACACCTTAAAATTTGGCCTCTGTCTCTTTAAGAAGCTACTGATCTTTCCGACACGCCGCATTTCAGGAAGTCGTCACAACATCGTTCCTCCATTAACACTTTAACAGCGTTCTTAGCGTTTCAGTGAGAAGTAGTATTTTTATGTAATGATGCACAGTTCCACCAGTTGCTTGCAGTCTGCTGCTGCCACTAGTCTGAAGGAGCTTCATGTAAACCCAAAAAAAGAGAAACCTCATGTCTGACGTCGACCGCCCCTCAGAGGTTTCTGTCCAGATAAGCAGAAAAGTAAAAGCCTCACCTGAGAGTCTGAAATGGACACCCGTTTCGACTCCACCGTGGGCCTGCGAGCCCCTCGAGGGGAGATGTGTGTGTAGCCTCCCTCTGACCCCTGTGGCCGATAGGTGCCCCTCTCCTGAAGGGACAGCTTCCTGCCGGACAGGTGAGGTCGCAGCACCTGGACCCTCTTGCCTTGAATGCCCTCCTGCTGAGCCTTTCCGTTCTTCACGCCGTTGGCGGCCGAGCCTTCGGGGTCATTCGCCGTCATGGCGGCCATGATGTCGGTGAGACTCCCCGTCTGGTCGGGGGAGATGGGGTCCAGCCTCTCGCAGCCCGGGTCGCTGTTCATCGCCATGGCGTCCAGAGTGGGGTGATCGTGGCGCGGGAGAACCGAGGAGCGCCCAGCAGCATCAATGTGACCTGAGCCGGCCTGCGGTCCTCAGCTGAACTGGAATCAAACAGGAAATGAAATATGGTGAGAGTCTGAGCTGGGCGATAAAACAAATTTTTCTTTTAAAATGTTGGAAAATCTATATCATTTTTTAAATACAAATTCAAGCCAGAGTGATGTTGGTTCGCCCCCGGCCGCCATCTTTGTTTGATAAATAGAAATGATGAAACAAGCTTATTTGGACTTTGAACTCTATGACAGAACATTAGGGGCAGGACACAACTTTATTTATTTATCTCAACAATACAAAAAGTATTTATTGTACATTGACTATAGTGTCATTATTTCAACACTAGAGTCCAAATAATGACAATAATGCAATATGTTAATGTTGCAAATTTATGAAAACTAAAAAATTGTAAAATGAGGAATGACTTTTTTACAAGTTTTACAGAAAAAAAACAACCTAAATCTTCTAGGACATCAACAGCATGCAATGGTGTATTAGATTTTTTTTAAAAAGAGACAGAACTAACTAACCATCCAAGCTTTCTGCTTCTGGTAAAATTATATCTTTATTCTGTTAATATTATAACTAAATTCTCATATTTAAAGAAAAATTATCATAGCATGGTTTTTACACCCACAAAAGGGATGATGGGAATAAAAGCCACTTTTTGAAAATATTGTCTTTCATTCGTCTTTTTCTTTTTAGTTAGTAGAAAAAGAGAGAAAAGGTTGATTCCATAAAATATGCTGTTTGCATAAGAGTAAGTGCAAGAGATCTAAACGTGAAGGAATGACTCAAAGCACAAAAACAAGTTTGTATACGTTTACAAAATGACCGATTCACTTAAAACGCTCTTCTAAAAAACCTCGGTGCCCAAGCGCAACAAGTAGAGCTGATCAAAGCACCAACGCAAACCAGAGGCTGGAGTTTAATTAAGCGGTCTGATGCAAATAGGAAATGTCATCTTGTGTATGTGAGCGGCCTGCTGGGTCAAGTTTCCCACCGTAGACGTGTCCCCATTAATTCAAACAAATGTCAGAAATAATGAAAGCAACCCCTTTTATTGAAAAGTTAATTACACGTTACGCCTTCGGTCATGACCCACTGTGTCCCTGTGAAACACACAATGCATTGAAGGTGTGTTAAATTTGGGTGAATAACCAAACATTTAAGTGGATTCTAGCCTTTCACGTATAAAGAAAAGGACGTCAGAGGGAGAAAACAAGCAGTGAAACTCTCTCCAACAGCTGAGTCAGGTTTTGGAGGACAGAGGTCTCCGCTTACCTTCGTAAGCTTCTCAAACAGAAACCCAAAAGTGAGACCGGGAGGCTGAACGCAAGGTCACCTTGGAGAGGTTCGGGAAGTGGGCCATGTTGCAGCATGCTATTCCTGAAGTGTGTCAGAAAGGTACACAGCAGTGATGTGGCTCTCAAGGTGGATTGCAGTTCTTCATCCACCTGACTGTCTTTTCTACTCGCTGGCGATATGGACCTCAAGTTTTATCACAATATTATGTGATAACTACGCAGAAAAAGCCCGATTTCATTTTCCCCTGTTGCCAGAACACAGCAACACATTCAGAATGTCAAGATGGAAAGAAAAACTGCATTAAGCCAAAAGGTCTGGCCTACAACTACAGTCCCTGTCGCTTCAGCTCTGGGCTTTCTGGAGATAAACAAATCCTTGAACCATCACAATAGGAGGCAAAACCATTTAATGACATCAGTCATGTAACCTGACAGCGACTCTGTGGGCTCGCGTGACAAAATGGCAGCTCTCATCCATTTACTCAGACAAGCTTAATGACTTGAAAGGGATGTCATGTGGAGAGGTGCTGGCCAGGCGTCAGGGCCACGATCGCCCTGCGGCACATGCGCACATCAACGTCCGAAAGGCTGTTATTTAAATGATGCGCACTGCAAGAGCAGGAAGAGTCCTTTCAACCACCTGCAGCGAGGGGGAAGTGCATTGTCTGCGTCCTGACTCACTTGAACGGCAACAAAGAGGAACTGTCATATTTTGCTAATTCTCATCCCAACCGATGATTATGAGTCTCCTGATACGGTCTCTCTCTCTCTCTCTCTCTCTCTCTCTCTCTCTGCTGTGGTTCTGTTCAGCGAGCTGCATGTGGGAGCGATATCCTGGCGGCGGTGGGAGGCGGAGGAGAAGTCCTGCTCTGGTTATTAAAAATTTTAGCTGCACTGAGACTTTTTATTGGTTTACACAAGCGCATTATGCTGAGTTTTTTATTTCGTTTTTTTTTTTTCCATTAGGGCTAATATTTCATCTCACATGGGACCTTTGTACATCTGACAACCCGTCTTGTCAGATAATTGTTTTCCAGTTGAAATGGACCGGCTGTGACGTTCGCTCTGAGAGTTTGGTCGTTTACTGCAGTGACTTTCAAGATTTGATTTAAAATGAAAAACAAAAACTGAAGAAGCAACTTCCGTTTGCTTTTGTTTTAATGTGAGGTGATTAAACTCAACCTTTTGCATCAATTCAACACCACAGTTTAAGGCACTTGAGTTGAGCCAATAACATTTGTTGGTTTATAGAGGATATTCACTCTATTCTTTCTTTTAGGGCTCTTGGAAATGTTCCTATTGGCATACAGCATGTAGCAAACAGCAGAGACAATTGCAGTAAGAGGGATGAATGGCCTGTAGCCATGAGGAGAGATAAATTGATTTGGTTTCCATTTGTGAGCCACTTTTACCCCTAACCTGCTTTCAATCATCCTTTGGCTGTGTGCTGACATCAAAACCAGCCATCCTGGTCCAAATTATGGCTTGAAATGCTTAACTACAGCAAATAAATCAGTTGTGGGAAATAGAAAGTACACCCTCCTTCTATCCGGAGGTTTTTTACTCATCAGAAAAATCAGACTTTTCTGATTTTTCTGGGATTTGTTGAATAGAAGCTCGAGGTAATTAATTAAAATTAATTAAAATGTAAATGTCTGCTTGGATATGTTTGCTTATTTTCATTCTTTAAATGTCCTGTGATTAAATATGTTGACCCATTTATCCATAACAACTGGAACTTTCAATACCTGGCAAGTTATTTTCAGACTTTATTGTCTATTAAAAGAGCCTCAGAAGGATTTCAATTCAATGAATGACGTAGTGCAAGCAGTCATAGCCAGCCAGACCTCAAGACAATATTTGTGTAAATTGGGACACTTATGTGATGCTTCGATTCTCGGATGTTTGTGATTGCAAAGGTAAAAACGACCAAATTCTACCTTTGTTCATGTTAGAGCTCGATTGACTTGATGCCAGTGAGCGTTCCCTGAGTTTGAGAAAGGCTCTGTTAGATCTCTACCAACTCCTATGTTCAGTTCATTGATGTATTATTATGAGCAGGGTAATGATGTTCCACTAAAGTGCATCAGTCCATCTGGAAAAACAGCTTTAGAAGTTGTTTAGCTGGTCAACTGTTTTCTCATACATATAATTTCCAATAGCAACCGGTACAACATAACTAATCATTAAAGGACACCAGGGCAGTCAGATAAATATAGTGAGATTTGCTTCCTACAGGTTTTACAACCAAAGAGATTACTATGCAATAAAGTGAGTCAGGTGACAAAAAGCTACAAAGTCTGCTTTAAAGACGGCAGTTTGGATAGACAGGCACTGAAAATATGTTTCTCTATGCTTCAGAGGACACTACATCCCAGTGAGAATCATGAATTCATCCGCACTCAAAGTCCAGTAAATTGCAGTCAAGCAAGAGAAATTAAATGCAAAACATTTTCCCTTGAAGTTGAAAGCGCCCTCTGAATCGCTGAACTTTGGTCGGGTTTTGGGGCTTTGGAGATCGAGCTAAACGATAAACATTTACAGTCCCTCCCATGCGAAGATGCTTGCACACATCAGGGAGCCTGATTGCTGTACGCGTTACTCTCTAAATATTGAAGCCGTTTGCACTGGCTTCAACATGTATGCCTGGAAAGTCACTGTATCGGCCTTTAACAACAAACATACGAAGCATCATTTTCATCGACTCTACAACTACAGACGTTTATTACTCAGCATCCAATATTCCATCAAACCATAATCATGGCACCAATAACATTATGTGGTAATACTGCAGAATTTCCTTTAGATTTAGGCCTGGGTCATTCTAAAATACGAATATGTTTGGACTATTACATCTCAATGCATCTCTGCCTGTATGAGCAGTATGGTTGTTTTGCTTGAAGGTGAACTGGAAGTCTGTCATCGTTTTGTGTCGATGTGGGGATGCAGGGTTCATTTGGGTTCATTCGGATGTGAATTATTTTATGTTTTGTGAAACGTGCAGATTTAGGTCTCATCTAACTAGAGCACCCTCTAGTGGCCCTTTTCCACTAGCAGTGCGGGTCGACTCTGTTCTAAGTGATTTCCGCTAGTAATGATTAGGCGGAACCAGCCCGTTTTAGAACCTTTTTCACTGTGGTTCCGAGCGTGCCGAGACAGCATTGGCTGAAAGCAAGACGTCAGAAGACTGTCAGTCATTGGCTAATGGGTGGAAGAACGACTCCTTTAAACCTTTTCTCCATGACCGGAGTCGACTCCATTCACACGTCCTGAGCGGTTCTGCATTCTTAGACTGGCACATGGATTTTGGAGAAACTGGAAGCAAAATGGGGTACATCTGCAAAATGACATCATGGGAGCTTTTGTGGGCTCACAACTTCTAAAACAGACTGCCAAGGGAGACGACCACCTTGGCTAGAACCAGACAGCAGTTCCTCAGTTATAACGGAAAGTACCGCTGAGCCAAGTCGAGACGCGCTGCTTGGTGCTCGTAAAAAAGGCGCAAGACATATTTGATGGCTTCTGATTGGTTTACAAATTGCTTTCCAATTGCCACCGCTGTGTAAAGGCCCATCCTGTCAGTTGAGGTGTACAACCATGTCTCGACAGGCTTGCAGCTGTGCAGTGCGTTTCCCAGTTCTAGTTACTAGACTGAACAGTACACTTTGAAATGCCAAAAAATGTAAAAGTCTGCTATGCTTTAGGGGCATCGCATGAAATCCCTAATCTGTACTGAAGTG